CTCGTCCTCCTCGTCGTGAGGATTAAGGGAGCCGAGACTGACCTGAGCATCCCAGGAGTGGCATCCGAAGGCTCGAGGCTCGAAGATCGGTTCGCTCCCTGGGGGCCCGCCTCGGTTCCCGGGGCGGGCGGAAAGGCGCGAGCACTGCGTACCGAGCAAGGCGTTGACCGAAGGAACCTAAAGTAGGGAACGAGGCCCCTGTTTTCAATAAGTCAAACTCCGACTTCCCATCGAACACTCGAGGAAGACCGTAGGCAAACTGCGAAACAGTTGAGGAACACCGAGCCCCTCCCCAACGAAAAGGATTCCAAATTCAGCGCCCCGACAAAACAAGAACCAAACAATATGCATAATAAACGTTAAGCTTTCGGAGCTCCGCGCGGATTTCTTTGATCGGCGCTGGGCCCCCATCACTGGCGCGCGGAGCGCGCCAGGGGGACCCAGCGCCGAGTCGAGAAATCCGAGCGGAGCTCCACAAGTTTGTGCTGATAATCTTCGCAGGGGGCAGGAAGAGCAGCAGCGAGGAGGGGCATCCCAAAAAGGCACCCAATGCCGCCGCACTCCCCGGACCTCTCGGGGGGGCTGCGGTCTGACTGCAGAACCTCGAGGCGGCGCTGGCGGTGGCGACCAGGGCCTCTCCTGGGACGGCCCCCCAAGAGAACAGGCGAGCACGAGGCCAGGGCAGCGGCACTGGCGCCGTGTCCTCCCCTGCAGGGGTCAGCTACGCGTCAGAGGTGACCCTGGGCAGGAGTTGGGCCGTGCGTGTCCTCCCAGAGGCGGATTTTGGACGAAGAATGAAACACCTTCAAGACATGCTCAAAACTAGCCAAAAAAAAGACTTCGTCACCTGATTATTTCTTTCTATGTTTGAAGATTCCTCCTGTAGAGGGACAGGCCCGCCTCAAGGCAAGAGTGGCCTCCGGAGCGCGCCGCCTGGGGGGGCCGCGGGGGGGGGGGGAATGAAGCGGAGCGTGCCAGGGCGGCTTCTTCCGCATCGCACCACGCAGCGATGGAGGGGCCCCGTTGCCGGTGGTTCAATGATGGGGTCCTGAGGGATGGGGTCCTGAGGAGAGGGTTAGGTCGGGCCTGTCCCCGTACAGGCCGATTCTGAACGAAGGATCAAAACTTGCCACATAGTAGAAAGACGTCCCCACATTATTTTTGAACCGTTTTTGAATATGCCCCCTGTAGAGGGACAGGCCCGACTTAAGGAAAGGGAAGAGGTCCTGAGGGATGGGGTCCGCAGGCCCCTGCTGGCTCGGGGCCCTACAGGGCACCTTTCTAGGGCACGTTCCTTCACCCCCTGGTCAGGTCACCCCCAGGGCTGGAACTAAACGGTGTTTTTCGTTCTCGTTTTGTTTTCGTTTTCCCTCGTTTTGTCTTCAATCCGCCTTTAACGCAAAACGAAATCGAACCGAAAACGGCCCACGAAATCGCCCAAACACCGTTTAGGTCCACCCCTGGTCACCCCCAAGGACCACCCGCCCGATGAGAGCGACCTTTCGCCGGAGTGACCTCTGGTGAGGGCCCAATGTCGGTGGTTCAAAGATGGGGTCCTGAGGGATGGGGTCCTGAGGATAGGAAGGGGTCCAAGGGTAAATTCACGTTGTTCAAGGCACCTCGTCCATAGGACCCCATGCCTCAGGACCCCATCTCTGAACCACTGGCATTGGGCCCTCACCACAGGTCACGCCTGCGAAAGGTCGTTCTTATCGGGCGGGTGGTAGGGGGGGTGACCTGAATTGGGGGTGAAGGAGAATGCTCTATTCGGCGGTGGACAAACCTCCCTTTAATAGACCTCGCCTTAGAAAGAAAACGGCCCTGGACCGAAACCGACGGACCTGGACCCGCAAACGTGACGGCCGCGACGCCCCCTCGCGAACCGAAAACGGCCACTTCCTTCATCGACGTGTCATGGTAGGTCTCTCCACCTCCGATCTATAATCAAGGGGCCCAAGGACACACAAATAAATACACACAAATAAAATAATGCCCCTATATTTTCCCATATTTTCTGGGTTTTTGTCCCCCCGCCCAATTCACATATTTTCCCATATTTTCTCAGGGATCGACGATTAATTGTGTCTGTGTGATCCTTCTCCTCCTGATATAAAGGGGCCCATACAGGGCCCCGCGCCAGCAGGTGCACAAGAGGGGCCCGAACGGGCTCCTGCAATGAAGGGGCCCTTTTCTTTTCACCCCCCCTTTGAGAATTAGGGAGGCCGCAGAGGACGTTTCGCGCCCAACCATGTGCACGAAGCCGGCCCCCCAGGCCCTCGAGACGGGCCGCGTGGTGCGAACGATCGCACAAACCATGCTCTCGAAATCAACGTGGATTCATGTACGTGTACGCGTCCTCCTGTCGCTCCTGGATTTTGGACGCCCGGAATAGGTACGGAAAAAATGGGCACAATGCCCAACAGCAAATGTTGTCCCGAACCAACAGCGGCCGCTGTTGGGCAGGCGGCCTTCTGTCTCAAATGAACACAGGCCGCGGCGGCGTGGCCAGCGAATCCGGTTCAAAATGAACAGGAACTGCTGTTGGGCATTGTACCCATTCTTTCCGTGCCCATGTCGGGCGTCCAGATGGATTGGGTTCGCACCCCATTACCACCCGCCCGGTCTGACGTGCAGCCGAGGTGTCGGTGGCGTTTCCTCGTCTAGGGGGAAGAAGAACGACACAAACATAAAAATTCGGAACACCGCGCGGAACTCTCGCGCCAGGGCGGCCCCAGGGGGAAAGCGAGCAGGAGGAGGAGGAGGAGGAGGGAGGAGGAGGAGGAGGAGGAGGAGGAGGAGGAGGAGGAGGAGGGAGGAGGAGGAGGAGGAGGAGGAGGAGGAGGAGGAGGAGGAGGAGGAGGAGGAGGGGGAGGAGGAGGAGGAGGAGGAGGAGGGAGAAGGCGAGGTGAGGAGGAGGAGGAGGATTGAGGAGGGGAGGAGGAGGAGGGGAGAGGAGGAGGAGGAGGAGGAGGAGAAGGAGGAGGAGGAGGAGGAGGAGGAGGAGGGGGAGGAGGAGGAGGAGGAGGAGGAGAGGGGGGGGGGGGAGGAGGAGGAGGAGGAGGAGGAGGAGGAGGAGAGGAGGAGGAGGAGGAGGAGGAGGAGGAGGAGGAGGAGGAGGAGGAGGAGGAGGAGGAGGAGGAGGAGGAGGAGGAGGAGGAGGGAGGAGGAGGATGAGGAGGAGGAGGAGGAGGAGGAGGAGGAGGAGGAGGAGGAGGAGGAGGAGGAGGAGGAGGAGGAGGAGGAGGGAGCCGCCTCCCGCGGCCGCCCGCGGCGGCCTCGCCGAGCCGCCCGCGCGCTCCTGCCGCCGACCGCCCGCCCGGCGCCTCTCCGCGGCCTCTCCGGCGCCCCCGGCGGTCGCCGGCGAGGCGGCCTCGCGCGCGGCGAGCGCGCCCACGGCGTCCGCGAAGGTGGCGGCTTGGCGCGGCGAGGCCTGCACCGGCCCCGCGGGCGGCGGAGGCCCCCTGCCGCACGAGTCGTCGAAGGGCCCTGGTGGGGAGCAGGACGCCCAGGCAGGCCCGCGTCGTGACACAATCACGACGGGAAGCTCCTGTCCGCTTTCGGCCCATGGGGGCCCTCGCCGGGCCCCAGGGCCGTCAACAGAAACGACTCGGGATGGAAAAGTGGCCCTGACAAAGAAGTCGGGACACATCGCATGTCTAGGAAACCACCTTCATCATAGCATCCCGACAAGCAAAGCCGTTCAGTAGGCACACCAACGGCCTGGAACCGAACAGCGCGCGGCCGTGCAAAAGCAAATTATGGGGAAGGAGGGGGAGGGGGAGGAGGGGGAGGGAGGGGGAGGGGGGAGGGGCAAGTTAGGTGCGCTCGCGTCAACATCTGACATCCTACCCCACCCACCCATCCCGTATGGCGCTGATTTTCTCTATCCGCGGACGCGTGTCGTAGCGAACCTGTGGCTCCGCGCGCGTGTGCGTAGTGGGTGGTGGTGCGCGTGCGTGCGTGCGTGTGTGCGTGTGCGTTGTGTGTTGTGGTGGTGGTGTGTTGGTGGTGGTGGTGGTGTGGTGTGTGTGCGTGTGTGCGTGTGTGCGCGTGTGCTGTGGTGTGACGTGGTGTGGCGTCTTGGTGGTTTGGTGGTGGGCCAGGTGCGTACGTGCGTGATGGCGGTGGTGGTGGTGGCGGTGGTTGGTGTGTGTGTGTGTGTGTCTGTGTGTGTGTGTGTGTGTGTGTGTGTGTGTGGTGTGTGTGTGTGTGTGTGTGTGTGTGTGTGTGTGTGTGTGCGTGTGCGTGCGTGTGCGTGCGTGCGTGCGTGCGTGCGTGCGCGTGCGTGCGTGCGTGCGAGCGTGCGGCGTGCGTGCGTGCGTGCGTGCGTGCGTGCGTGCGTGCGTGCGTGCGTGTGTGTCTGTGTGTGCGCGCGTGTGATGTGGTGTGACGCGGTGTAGCGTGGTGGTGGTGGGTAGGGTAGTGCGGTGGTGGTGGCGGTGCGCGGTGGTGGTGCGCGTGCGTGCGTGCGTGCGTTGGTGGGTGGAAGTGGCGGTGGGTGTGCGTGCGGCGGGGCGGGGCGTGGTGCGGCGCGGTGGTGGCGGGCGGATGGGCGCGCGAGAAAGAGGCCCGCGCTGGGGCGAGAACGCCATCCTGAACGACGGAGGCAAAACACCGATCCGAAAATGAGGCCACCGCTGCAGCGGGAGCACGATTCGGAACGAGTCGGGAGCAGAAGTGAGGCCGGCGCCTCAGCGAGAGCAGCATTTTGAAAAAAAAGCAGGCGAAAACCCAACTCCGGGGAATCGTGTGTAAAAAAACAATACGCGGGGGGGGGCGAATACGCAAAAGACGTCATCAGGGGAAGAGGGAGAGTAGTATTCATATTGAGTAATTGCGGAGGGGGGAGACGGCAAGGTCGGAGGAGGAGGAGGAGGAGGAGGAGGAGGAGGAGGAGGAGGAGGAGGAGGAGAGGAGGAGGAGGAGGAGGAGGAGGAGGAGGAGGAGGAGGAGGAGGAGGAGGAGGAGGAGGAGGAAGAGTGTTTCTTTCCTCCCTCGACCGAGACCGCCAGGCACGGCGCCGCCCTGCGGCGGCCTGCCGCAGCCCACGAGCGCGTCGGCGAGGCTGAAGCGCCTGTCCATCGCCAGGCCCGTGCGGGCCAGCAGCGGCTCCTCCAGGCGGTGGCCCGCCCGGACCATCGCCCCCCCGATCCAGGACGGCTCCATCTCCTCCACCACGGCGTAGAAGGCGCACTCGAAGCCCGTGTACCACCGCAGGACGCCCAGCCCGGTCACGAGCGCCCACGCCGCGTAGCCGGCGGCCAGCTGGTCGGCGCCGCCGCGGCACCCGAGCAGCGACCCGGCAGCGTCCACCAGGCTGGAGTCCTGGGCCTCGCTGCCGAGGAAGACTGCCGCAGAGCCCACCAGCAGCCCGCCGAAGATGGAGCCCCACACGACCAGGAAGACGCGGAACAGGGCCGAGGGGCCGAGGATGCACATCAGGCCCACGACGGCGGAGACCGCCGCCAGGCCTTGGTGGGCCCTGGAAACGACAGAGCTGTTTTCTTCCCGGTTCCGTTTTGCCGTTTTCGCTGCCGGTTCCGACGCCGTTCTGTTGCCGGTCCCGTCGCCGTTCTCTTTCCGGTTCTGGCCCCGGCTCCGGAGCCGCTGTTCTTGCCGCTTCGGGTCGCCGCTCTCATTTTGTCAAGAGACATCTTTTCGGAAACGATGGAAGCACGGCCCTGCCGCTTCCAGGGCCCACTGGGCGCCAGGCCCTTCTGGCAGGGCAGCTCCCGCAGGCGCTGCTCCAGGCCGGTGTGCTCGGCCTGCAGCCGGGCGCGGGCGGCGGAGGCCTCGCGCACCGCCGCCCGGCGCGCCGCCTCGGCGGCGGCGGCCTGCTTCTCGGCCGCCTGCTGGCGCTGCAGCGCCGCGTCCCTCTCCAGCCGCAGCGCCGCCTCGCGCGCCGCCGCCCTCGCGGCGTCGCGCCGGCCGCCCTCCTCGGGCGGCGCGCCGGCAGAGGCGCCGCCGGAAGGCCTCTGCGGTGGCGGCGGCGCCGGCGACGGGGGCAGCGCGGCGGGGGGCCGGGCGCCCTCCAGCTGCAGGGACACGGCGCCAGCCGCGAGGCACAGCAGCGCCGCCAGGGCGACGCCGAGGGCGGGCAGCATCCGGGGGCGGCCCGCGTGCCGCCCGCGGCCACCGCTGGTGGTCGAGAGGTCTGCGCGCAGCAGCTGCACGGCCACGCACAGGGCCTGCAGGTCCCTGCCGCACCTGCCGCCCAGGCGGCCGGCGGCGTCCTGCAGGCCGCGCCGCACCTCCGGCTCGCAGGGGCTGGAGGCGCCCACGGCCTTCGTCTCGGCGAGGACAACGGCGCACACGACCAGGCCCACGAAGACCAGGAAGAGAGCCGGGTGCTCGAGCGCGAGGTAGACGGCGATGCAGACGACCGGGAGCGCCAGGGCCTTGGAGCTGGCGCCCTCCAGGTCCTGCTCGTTGCGCTGGCGGCGGACCTCGACGCGGCCCTGCAGCGAGTCCCGCAGGGCGCCGCGCCGCTCCTCCCGCTCGTGCTCGGGGAGCTCCAGCCTCCCGAGCTCCGCGCGCAGCCGCTCCTCCGCCTCGCCCACCGCCGCGGCGCCGAGCTCGGCGAGCGCGGAGGGCTTGAAGACGCGGTCCCACGGCAGGGCCTCCTCGAGCCTGCGGGCGCCCTCCTGCGCCAGCCTCTCCTGAGCGGCCTCCACCGCGGCCCTGACGCGGAGGTCGTTCTCCCGGGCCCTCCGCTCCAGCTCCTCCCCGAAGCGGCGCGCGAAGGACGCGCGCTGCTGCCGCTCGTCTGGGGGCCTCCACCTCCCCAGCTCGGCGTCCAGCCTCTCCTCGAACAGGCCCCGGAGCCGCTCGGCCGCGGCCGCGAGCTCGGAGGGGGGCAGCGCGCTGCCGTCTCCGCCGGCGAGCGCCGCGCAGTCCTCGGCCGCGAAGCGCTGCAGCAGCGCCTCGCAGTTGGAGCTCGCCGCCAGCTTCAGCATGGCCTGTGGTCGGGCATGTCCTCCTACAGGCGGATCTTGGGCGAAAGCTGAAAACTAAGCAGGACAAAAATCCAAACATGAGCGAAAATCGTCAAAACCTCGTCCCCAGACTATCTTTTATAACACATGTGTTTGGATCCATTCCCCCTGTAAGCAGAGGGACGTGCCCGACTTCGGCGTGGCCTCGCCCGGCGCGACGGCGTAGCTCTCGCTGTTGCGGAAGGCGTCCAGCAGGCCGCGCATGCGCTCCGCGAAGTTCCCGGCCGTGAGGCCCACGCCCCAGGGCTGGTACCTCCTGGGGAAGCCGCCGCCGAAGAACTGCGAGGCGAAGCGGTCCACCATGTACAGGAAGTCGCGGTCCACGTCGCCGAGGGCCTGGAGGCGCAGAAGACCCAGACCCCCTCGGGGAGTGAGAGGATTCATGGCGGGAGGGTTTTTCGCTACTTTGGGCGTCCAAGGGCCCTAACCGGCCCTCGGGACCGTCAGACAACGACTCAGGATGAGAAACCGGTCCCGGGGAATGGGTCGAGACCCTTGGAGATCGCCGTTGGGAAACAATCTTGATGACGGGGGTCTGGGAGCGGCGCAATTTTAATTTCTCGGAGGTCCGCGCAGGTTTTTCTGAGAGGGGCTGAAGTGTCAAAGTTCGGAAACTCAAGGAACGGTGAATGGAGTGATGCAATGCGGGGGACATATACGGTGTACCTCCGGTGGTGTCAATAAGCCTATGGCGCTGGACCGCCCTCCCTGGCGCGCGGCGCAGGGGGGGGGCCCAGCGCCGATCCAAGAAAGCTGCGCGGACCTCCGAGAAAGTACAGCCGATAGTATGATCAAGGAGATCATGATATCAGAGACCTGGGCCAGCTGTCCAGAAGTGTCTTCCAAATAACCTGGGCCAACTTTTTGGCTCACGCTGAAGGGACACACGTGCTTAGGCAACCGGGCCAGCGTTCCAGCGAGTCTGAACAGAAATGCTGGCCCAGCTTGTCGGGAGAGGGTTTCTTAATCATAAATCATATGCTCGACCGCGTGTGTCTGTGCCGTGGTTTGTCCATCGGGGGCCCCCTCCCAGCTCTGCGACTCGACCCTGCTCCCGGGGTAGGGCAGGCAGTAGCAGCCCGTGGACGCGAACGACTCGCGCAGGGCGCGCATGCTGGCCCGCCGCTCCTCCGAGAGGCCCGCGTCCTCCGAGCACGTGGCGAACTCGTCGGCCATCTCGCGCTCGCAGCCCTGCAGGGTGGAGCCGTCCTTGAAGTGCTTGTAGTCGCGCACGACCCACATGAGGTCCCCAAACTTGACGTCCTGGTCGCCGGCGGTGCGGGCGATGCCGATGAAGTTGTTGAGGAAGACCAGCCTGCCGACGTCGGAGTCGTCGATGCGGCTCTGGACGTTGTACATTAGCTTCGAGGCCAGCACCGCCGTGAGGCCGAACACGGTAGCGCTGTGGCTGGTCGCCAGATGCCCATCGTCCACACCCTGAGTGTCCATGAGCAAGACCTGGGCGGCGCGCGCAACAAGGTGGCGCGGAGGGCGGGGGGGAGGCGGCCCTCCAAGAGATGGTGGCGCGCACAGGGGGGGGGAGGGGAGGGGGGGAGGCCTCCTAGAGAAGGAGGCTGCTTCTCAGAAGGGCGCCGGCCTTGCATCGTTAGACAAGGCCTGCGCGTTCTAAGAAGCAGGGTGCCTCTAAGAAGCCTCCCCCCCTCCCCCTCCCTACCCCCGCCTGCGCGCGGCCGATTGAAGGCGGGGGGGGGGCTTCATAGAAGGGAGGGGTCTTCTCAGACTCCCATGGGGTCATGAAAAACCCAGACCCCCTCGGGCACTGACAAAATCATGACAAAAAGTTTTCCGTACTTTCGGCCTCGGGAGGCCCTTACCGGCCCTCGGGACCGTCAAGAAACGATTCAGGACGAGAAACCGGCCCCGGGGAATGGGTCGAGACCTTTCAGGGTCGACGTAATGAAAAAATCATGACGTCGGGGGTCTGGGAACGAACGACACGAAGTTTGTGTTGTGATTGTCGGCCTCTGGGGGCCCTCAGCAGGCCCTGGGAACCTCAGAAGACGACCCAGCGCAGCAGAAAAGCAATACACTGGACGACCAGAATCCGACTCTGCGGGACAGGGTGTCGTTTTTCCCACTTCCCAATGTCCTGGTCAATCTTTTTCCTGGTCTCGGGGGGGGCTGAACCCAGACCCCCGACGTCACGAGTTTTTGTTGTCACGTTGACCCTCAGGGGCCTCGACCCATTCCCCTGGACTGGTTTTTCATCCAGAATCGTTTTTTGACGGTCCCGAGGCCTGGTAAGGGCCTCCAGGGACCGAAAGTAAGAAAAAACCTCCCGTCATGATTTTTGCCATTACCCCAAGGGATCTGGGAAGAACGACTCAGACCCCCTGGGGCCCACGCTGGTTCAAGGTCAGAGTGAGGGGGCCGAACGGTCATTCACTGTCCCTGGGCGCGTGGCTGAATGGAGAATCCGTGGTGAGGACTCTGCTTGTTGCGTTGTTGTTGCTGTTGCTGTTGCTGTTGCTGTTGTTGTTTCCGTTGTTCGGTTAGGCGTTGACACCAGCCCCGGCTTGTTGTTGAGATCTTCTTCTTCTCTCAAAACTCAAGTGCTTATCCTTAAGGGTAAGCAAAGCTCCAGCAACCGAGGGCTTGCCTCACGGGGCCGGAGAAGGGGCTGGCACTGGGGCGGCAGCGCAAGGTGCCCCACGGGGCTGGAGAACGGGTCGGCATTTCTGGCGCGTTCCCATGGGTTTCCCCAGGATTTCCGCGAATCCCTCAGGATTCCTTTGGATTTCTGAGGACTCCTCCGGACTCTCTAGGATGCCCAAGGATTCCTTAGGACCCCCCAAGATTCTCCAGGATTTCTCAGGAGCCATTCCGCGGGACCCCCGAGGATTCCTCAGGATCCTCCAGGATTCCTCAGGCTCCTTCCGGAGTCTCCAGGAATCCTCAGGATCCCCCAGGAATCCTTGGGATCCCAAATGATTGTTCAGGATCTCCCCATGGGGTTCTCAGAATTCCGTTGGGCTCTCCGGATTCTTCAGGATAGTTTCGAATTCTTCATGACCCCCAACGCTTCCTCAGGACACCCCAGGATTCCTCAGGATCCACCGTGTCTCCTCAGGACGCGGAAGATCTGAGCGCGGTGGGCGCCCCTGCGGGCACGGCGGCCACGGCGCACTACTACTACTACTACTACTACTACTACTACTACTACTACTACTACTCCTACTCCTACTACTACTACTACTACTACTACTACTACTACTATTACTACTACTACTACTACTACTACTACTACTACTACTACTACTACTACTACTACTACGAAGACTACTACGAAGACTACTACGAAGACTACTACTACTACTACTACTACTCCTACTACTACTACTACTACTACTACTACTACTACCACTAGAAATGCTACTACTACTACAACTACTACTACTACTACTACTACTACTACTACTACTACTACTAGCTACTACTACTCTACTACTACGACTACTACTACGACTACGACTACTACTTACGACTACTACTACTACTACTACTACTACTACGACTACTACGACTACTACGCGTCTACTACTACTACTACTACTACTGCTGCTGCTACTACTACTACTATTACTACTACTACTACTACGACTACTACGACTACTGCTACTACTACTACTACTACTACTACTACTACTACCACTAGAAATGCTACTACTACTACTACCACTACTACTACTACTACTACTACTACTACTACTACTACTACTACCACTACTACTAATACTACTGCTACTACTACTACTGCTACTACTACGACGACCACTACTACTATTACTACTACTGCCACTACTACTACTACTACTACTACTACTACTACTACTACTACTACTACTACTACTACTACACTACTACTATTACTACTACTACGAAGACTACGACTACTACGACTACTACGACTACTACGACTACTACTACTACTACTACT